TCTTGCTATAATAGAAATCCTAATACTAGAAAGCAATAAAATCATACTACTACCAAAATACTAATGCTTGGCTTGCACACCAAGCAACTCTAGAACTTCCAAGTTGCCGCCCCAATTACTCTCGGCCGCCTCGCATGCGCGCGCGTTTGCGAGTTCTAGTCCTCGGCGGACTCGGCGTCTTGCGCGCGGTCTTCATACGCGCACGCTGTCGCGCGCGCTTCCCCCTTGCCGCGTCGAGCTTGCGCGTGCATACCCGCGCCCAGCACTCCTACGCCTGTTAGGATTGGGTCGCCCGTGCTTGCCCCGCACTCGCGCGCAGTCGCGCGCCCATCGCCACTGCTGCCCACATCCCGCACGTCCTTGCCACCTGTGCGAGTGTCGCGCACGCCCCTTATGTCCGTGTCGTTCGTGCCGTCGTCCCGTGCCTCAGGCGTCGCCTCCAGCGCCCATGCGTCTCGACCCTCTACCGCGCACCCGCGTACACCTGTGCACCTGCCAACCTCGCATGTACTCGCACATCCGTTCATTGGCCCATAGCAATCCCCCTCGCGCGCCATCCACCCAACAACCTCCCCCTGCGCGCCACTTCGCCTATTCTCCAAGCGCCATGCGCGTTTACGCCAATGCGCGTGTGCGCGTCTTTGTTTACTGCCTTGTACGTGTCACTTCTCACGTGCTCGAGTGCCCCGCATACGAGCTCGTATCCGTCTCTTAGGCCATGCGTGCATCGTTTTGTCCCCATTATCAGCCTTATCGGGTCGTCTCGACTCTTGGCCTTTTTTGTCACAGGGGTCCGGAACCCACTTCCGTATCATTCCCCTCCTTTTCGAGACTTTCCTTGTCCTCAAGGATTCATCCTCGACCATCCAAACATCGGGCTCTCCTTCTTCGATCTCAAGTTGGAACGTCGCGTCCCCTTCATCCGTATTGTACCTCCTACGCGTCTTGTCATGGCCCTCGTCGGCCACGACCAAGATCTCAACTTCGAACATCTCTTCGACCATGATCTCGCTTGCAACATCGATTACTTTGTCCTCCACGCTCATCTTCTCGTCAATTCCCTCTTCGACCATGAGCAAGATCTCTTCCTTGACCTCGACCACTTCGGCTTCTTGCTCGCACGATTCTGGGAATTCCTCATCGGCCTCGACTTGTTGTCCTTCCTCCATGATCCTGAGTTGTCT